TCAATTGGAAATTGCAGAGGCAAGGTAATAAAAACAGCATAAATGAACCGCAAAATACTGTCTGGTAGACCCTTTTGAGGGGTTTCTTCTTGCTGTTGTTGCAGAACCTAAAATCTAAGCTAATTCACCCTTTGTTTTTGAGTACAGGGTGCTCTGCTGTCCAGGTAATGATGGACCATTCTCTCAGACTGTTGTGTGCACGGACACGTTACAAGCTGTGGTCGGTGTGTCCAACTGTCGGCTTGTGTGTTGCTCCACCCCTGGATATCAGCAAAGAGTCAGCATGTTAACCTTGTCTCAAGAGGGAAGGTAACAAACCATCATGTGTATTTTAAACACCTGAACTAAAACTATCCATCACTCGCTCATGTTTCATTCGTCTTATAATTTCAGTGTAGTGAAAACTCTTCCCTTCATCTCTGCTAAGCAGAACATTCAGACCTTTGCAGCTGTAGAAGGAGAAAAAGAGGCTCTGATTGGATTGACAGAATGTAAAACCCTCCTCATATGGTGATGATTTTGACAACTTATTCTGTTAAACTACAGTGCATTTTGAGAAACCAATTTAAATGTATTCATTCAGTACAATGAGATCAAATAATAGGGATACATTCAGTTAGTGATGTTTTACTATTGTTTTATTTTTTTTATTATTAAATTATTATAAAATAGTTTTGGCAGTTCAGTTTTTTATAGGTAGCCAAGTGGCGGGTCCAGTTTAAAGAGTAAAGAGTAAAGAACTTTTATTGTCATTGTAGTTATACAACGAAATTTGTTTGGTAACTCACAGAGACCAGCAGCAATATAAAAAGAGAGAAAACAAACAATAGACATAATACTAAAATAGAAGATGCAAGATAAAATATACTAAATGTAATAAGTCACATAAAACAAACAATAGACATAATACTAAAAAAAGTATTATGTATTATATTTAGATACATTTTGTGCATGTTGTCATTTTCTTTAGTTTTTAAATGTTATAATTGATTATCCCTTTGATAAATTTTAGGAGCATGAAGTCAGGCCAGCTGCTTCAGACTATATGCCTGGGGAAGACTTTAACCATGACCAACTGTATGAAGGGATATTCCTACAGAGTAAGTAAATGTTATGTTTTTTGTAATAAAGGGAAAATGTGCTGGTAATTTACACTCTTTCAGGGCATCCAAGGCTAGGATGTCATAATTTTGCCAAGTACGATGCAATCCTGGATTAACATCTGTGCTGATCTTGGAACATCATTTTTGTTCGAAAATGTAATCCATACCTATTCCTCACCCCTAAACCCAACCATAACTGTCAATTATTCCCAAAATCAGAGGGGAATAATAATTGCATAACAATCATGTAGAAGTGCATAAACCTAACCGTAAGCCTAAACTTAACATAAATAGTAAACATAATCCTTAATTCTGATTGGCTGATTGAAATGTTGTTCCAGGATCAACATATATGTTAATCCAGGAACATGTCGTACTTGGTGTAAACATGTCCTAATTGGTTGGCGTCTAATACTAGGTGCTGTTTTTGTCTTCAGAAGATGATAGTTAGAGTTTTAGCTGAAAGATCATTGGTCATTCATAAAACGCAAGTCAGCAACTATCAGCACTATATACAGGCAAATAAAGTTAATAAACAAATATGTCAGCTCACATATGAGACCTTCATGAATGCACTCAGGACTGTTTGCAGAGGCTTTGGATCAAAGGTAATAATGTTGTGAATATGGATAAATGATCACTTTAAAGGGATATTAATACATTCATTGGTTTATTTTCTTTTCAGCTTAGTCCCTTTATTAATCTGTGGTGGCCACAGTGGAATGAACCGCCAACTTATCCAGCACATGTTTTACACAGCTGCAACTCATCACTGAGAAACATCCATACAAACTCAATAACACACACTCACACACACACACAATTTTACGGACAATTTTGTCTTACCCAATTCACCTATTGCGCATGTCTTTGGACTTGTGGGGGAAACCGGAGCACCCGGAAGAAACCCATGTCAACACGGGGAGAACATGCAAACTCCACACAGAAACACCAACTGACACAGCTGAGGCTCGAACCAGCGACCTTCTTGCTGTGAGGCGATTGTGCTACTTACTGCGCCACCGTGCAGCACTTTAACTAGATAGCTCACCCAAAAATGAAAATGAACTCATCGTTTATTCTCCCTCATGTGGTTTAGAACCTATGAGTTTCTTTCTTCTGTTAAATATATTTTGAAGAATTCTGATTGCTGGCACCCATCAACTTCCATAGTAAGAACAAAATTACTATGTACATCAATGGGTGCCAGATATCAGCAATTTTCAAGATATCTTTTGTGTTCAACAACGGAACAAAACTCAAAGAGGTTTCAAAAAGTCAAGGGTGAGTAAATGATGACAGAATTAAACATTGTGGGTCTGACATCAATGGTAATAGTAACCGCTTACAATGCACTAATATTTTCCTTAATTATGATCGCAATATATATTCATGCCTAATATCAGATGGCCAGAAAGAAAAAAAAAATGTTTTCTTAATTTTAAAGTCCAGAGACTGTTGTGTTTGCCATAGTTTTGTAAGAAATTCACTTCAATATTTAATATGACTAAAAATTGGTCATAAACAAATATTTTCAAGCAGATACCCTTTAATAAACGTGTCAGTAATAACTTGCTTTTTTTCCTGCAGGGTGTGCTGTGTGTATTGCTTCAAAATTCTGGATATGTGTGTGATGAAGAGAGTAACACATGCCTTTTTACTCTGGTTGCCACAAATCCTCTGACTGGCAAACATATCACACTGTCCTCCATCAGCCACCCTGATCAACCCAAACAGCCGTAAGACTCGGGTTTTAGTATCCACAAAATCTTTGCTGCATTTTCTTTTTCCTTTAAATGAATTTTATGGCAAATTACAGTAAAACAAAGACAAAAACAATTCTGTTTTTAAAAGTGTAGATAGTATCAACTTATGTAGCTGATGTTTTGAATAAGCATGTTTCTCTTTCTCCAGATTATTAGATGGTGATGTCTCGGGCTCCAGGCTGGTTGGTGTTTTCCAGAATGGTCATCTTGCTGTTTGGGATCTTAGGGACAGTGTAGCTAAAGCTACTGTTGTGCTGGATGAGTCGTGTCGATTAGCTCGATGGGCAGGACCAGACACACTACTGACTGGATATCTCAACGGGGATGTCAGTGTGTTTCATTATAAATCGGCGTAAATGGTTCATACAAAGTTTCTGTGAATCTTTTTTTAAATGTTAAAGAAAGATCAAGATACGTTTTCAGATTTCGGTTGTTTGTGCGAGTTGTGCACTGTCTTATGCAAGCTATTCATAAATATAAGCATTACCAGAAACAGTTGTACTTTTGCATATGTAAAAATATATTTTACAAAATAAAACTAAATTCTGGCAATTCTGCAGATGAAGCATTTGTTGTGTTTAATTATTATTGTTACTGTAGCTGTAAAATGTTTATAATTTAAAAAGCTTCTGTTCTTTTTTTATAATAAATGCCAATTACAATATATTATATAGAGTAATGAGTAGAAAGTTTGCAACAGAGCTTTTAATTGACTCTTCTTATTTGTTTATCTCCCAAACTGAATTACCAGATGTTGTATGCACACTACTTGTCTATGTTATGCACACTACTTGTGTAAATAAATACAAATTAATTATAATTTTAAAAATTGTGTTATTGTTCCTAAAAATTTGGGTTGCGGCTTGATGATCATGTAAAAATGTGGGTCCCATGGTCAAACCAGTTGAGAACCCCTGATCTAGAGGATTTAGGTGAACACAGCAGCACGGCGATGTGTCTAAATGTGAACAAACTCCTGATAAAAGAAAAAGCTGCCATTCTCCAATTCTCGTACTGCTCTACCGACAAAAAATGCTTGCTGCACACAAACAGCTTGGCTTTATCGACCTTGACAGCATTGCGGGGAAAAACATGCAACTAACCCTGTGGATCATAGAAACAAACACATTCAACCCTTCATGTACAGCTAAATACTGTGTGCCGTGGGTCTGTGTCTCACAGCTTGGCACTGGCAGGTCTGCCTTCCCTTCGGAAAGCACTTGCAGTCAAGAATAATTAGGAAGCCGGCTCTTCTCATAGGATAAGAAAATTCAGCTATGAATAATAATAAGAAACCGACGCGTCATCTTTGCACTTGTAGTTTTGCACTACGTCGCTGATTTTGATCCTACCCCAAAAATCATTTTAAACCCAGAAGCTGAAATTAGCTGACAAAAGCTTAAAATTGTCCAGTTTGTCTTAACTGATGCTCAACACTCACAAATCTGTTAAAATCTCAAAAAAGTTCTCTAGGGTTTCGTGAACTTTTAAAGGCAGTCCACAAAAACAGCTACATTGTGTTCAAAGCAGAAAATCCAGTATTCTGAAAGGTATAATAAATAATCTAATGGGTATTTTGAGCTGAAACTTTAAAGACACATTCCGGAGACACAAAAGACTTATCTTACATCTTGAAAAAGGGGTAAAATAGGTTCCCTTTAAGTGTTCAGGATCAGATTCATATTTGTACTTCATACGATAAACTTTAAACAAACATTTAAAATAACATCAGAGCTAAAGTGGTTTTAGATTAACAATATTTCTGAAGTGATGTGTACAAATAAATTTATTCTAAATATAATTATATGAAATTGTCATTGACCATTTTTTTGTAAATTGCAACTATTTTAACGTTTTTATATGAGAGAAACTCCTTAGAAAAGGGTTTTTAATACAGCTAACGTTAGCTACTATGTACAACTCAAAATGTGGTTTATGAAATAAAGAACAAAGGCGCAAACGTCACTTTTTTGAATGTGCGAAATTGGATAAATGTTGCTGCTATGCACTGAGAGTTAATATAGTACATAGATACTATGAAAAAATATTCTCATAAATTATTTTAACTTAACTCGAGGGATATTTCGATTTCTTTGAGAGTGTTGTGTCGCGCATGCGCAGCAGCCGTCTCGTGCATTGTGGGAGCTAGTTGAGAAACATGGCGGCGCGCATCCTTGCCCGGTGTGTCCGATCGCTGAACCACCGTTCTCTATATTTTAACCGTGTAAACACTGTCGCGACTTTAACAGCAGCTCCGCTCATCCATGGCCGGACACTTTCACATCTGACAACCGGACATAAGTCTTCACTGGCGCAGGTGTGTGTTCCTGAGTGACTGATGACGTCCGATGACCTACCCGTGTCTTTAGTTAGAAAGGCTTCAGCAATATCGACAAACAACCTCATTTCGCTTCATCTCACTGCTGTATTATATAAGTCTGCTGAAGTTTAAGACAAATGAGATGAATGTTAATGGTTAACGGTTAATTTTACTGCTTTAACTCACTCATTATCTTTACGTAACGTTATAAAAGATTGTCCGTTTAGTCTTTGTTTACATGTTTAATTGGCTTTAGTACTGTATTATATTGCGGTTTATCAGTTGTAATGGTTTATACGTGAATAGGGCATTACACCACTGCGTGTAAACGTTTATGATAGTTTAAAAGTGGCTTTTTTAATTTTGTTGTAATATGTGATGTTTGTGTAACGTAAATATGCTTTATCTTTTATATATTTTTATTGCCGTTTTTTGATATTATCCTTTTATTCAGTCATTTTTACCAAAACAAACAACTAAAAATTTACTTTTTTACATCATCAGAACATGGAGGTTAAGTTGGTTTTATATTCACACATTCAGACTTTCTCCTTAATAATATACTTTCAGAAAAGTATTCATTGCTAATTCTAAATAGTGAAATCATATTAGCAGTCAATGACCATCAAACTACAACATTGTTCAGTCATTTAAATAGTGCTAATGTTGTTTTGAAGTCATACTTGCATGCGATTTGAGACTAAATATTGTGCCATGGTAAACAATATAGGGAGCATGGCACATGTCACTAAACTAATGATCAAATAAAAATTTAACCTTAATCATCAGAATGTGTCTTTGGCACTTGCCATTTTGTAAACGCGTAAACTCATGGACATGGCTGGAAAATGTTAAATAATTTTGGGGAAAAAAGTCACTATTGTGTTCTTCCCATTGGTCTCCTGTACTTTCAGTTTTGACCACAAAGTTAAATTCATCCAGTGGGGAGCGTTCAACACTGTGGTGTAAAATATCTTAGTAAAAGATAATTTTTCTCAGTTATTAAAAGCTTGTTTACTGATATTTACTATCAAATACAAAATAGTTTGGTAATGGCATGTGTTGTTCATGTTATTGCTTTAATTTCACTTTTAATCTGCCATGTGTCTGTTTTGAAAGATCAAACTTTGTAGTGCTACTATAAGCTGTATTTAGTGGGTAACATGTTAAATATGGATTACAAATATTTCATCAACACAATTTAGTATCATAAAAATATATAAAACTGAGCTGAATTATTCATTGAATAATAATAATACTTTTTGATCTAACTTATTATTAATTTTTATACCTATATTAACAGAATAATTATTTGTTTTATCAAATATTTGATATGACATTTTGTAAAAGCAGATAACTTGTAATGATTAACCTATTAAAACTGATATAAAAGTAAGGCTATAGAAATATTGAAACAACAATACAAAGCTAAAATGGTACAGAATAATAGTCATAGTAGCATCTGTTTCAATATTCATGAGTTACTCTAAAATGGCACATCCCCAGCTTAATGTATTTGTTGTGTTTTGTAGGTGTCTGGCAGTTCACCACAGATCTTTCAGTGGAGGCAGTTCTGTGACTCGCCTCCGTTAACCCTAAAGACTGTCCATGAGCGTGTGCTCTACGTCCTGAAGCTTTATGACAAGATCAACCCTGAGAAGGTAAGCACACCAGCGGTTTGAGCAGGTCAACAACAAACATGTGAGATTGAATTGGTCCATACCAGCTTTAGATTTATATTAAACTCTGTAGATGATCTGTGTTTGGTGATGATTTAAAGGTTGTTTTCATTATTTCTGTTCAGCTTCAGGTCACCTCTCACTTCATGAAAGATTTGGGACTGGACAGTTTAGACCAGGTGGAGATCATCATGGCCATGGAAGATGAATTTGGTTTGTAACTACATTAACAATTGTAATTCTCACCGGTATCACACATTGACCATTTTATTATTGCACACATTGCGATCTTTTGTTATTATTGTAGGCACTGCCTGGCCAAATTTTTCTTACTGCAGTTATTATTAGTGATGGTGAAATGAAGCTTTCTGAACCAGTGAAATGCTCGACTCAATTGGATCTGAAAAAGGTTCGTTTCTCGAAGCTTTCTAAATCAAAGCTCGATGAGGACCTTTTCTGGTTAAAGTGTGGGAAAGCACTGTGCTGCAATAATGTCAAATGTTCACAACTGACCAACTCATTCATGTAACATTAATATAAACAAATTACTCAGTTACTGTAGTTTTTACACATAAGGTATGTTACATTACACCTCCGATGACTATAGTAAAATCCAAGTTATTCAAAAGTATTTACATTTATCATATTCCAATTATGCAGTGGCGCAGTAGATAGTGCTGTCGCCTCACAGCAAAAAGGTCGCTGGTTCGATCCTCGGCTCAGTTGGCGTTTCTGTGTGGAGTTTGCATGTTCTCCCTGCGTTCACATGGGTTTTCTTCGGGTGCTCTGGTTTCCCCCACAGTCCAAAGACATGCGGTACAGGTGAATTGGGTAGGCTAAATTGTCCGTAGTCGTGTATGAGTGTGTGTGTGAATGCGTGTTTGTGTGTGGATGTTTCCCCGAGATAGGTTGTGGCTGGAAGGGAATCCACTGCGTAAAAATGTGCTAGATAAATTGGCGGTTCATTCCGCTGTGGCGACCCCGGATTAATAAAGGGACTAAGCCGACAAGAAAATGAATGAATATACCAGTTAGTCGTTCACCCACCCATTCGTTCCAAGCGGGAATCGAACCGGCGATTCCTGCATGGGAGGGGAATGCTCTAGTCTAGGAGGAGGCTATGTGAGTGATGCTTTCGGGCTGCACTCGCTAGCTGGCCTCCTTTAAACACTATACTACGATATGCAGAGGATTTCTTTAAAGATAGTTATAAAAAATACGCTAATACAGTATGGTTCAAGACATTTTTACTATAAATTGCTATTATTTTTTAGTTTAAGTACTGGTGTGTGGGATCAGTGCTTTAAAACAGTAGAAATGTATGTAATCGACGCCTATTCTCTCGCTATAACACCCATGAGGGTGTTTAAACCTTTGAATCAAAATTCGAAGCAGTCATGTGGGTATAGGTGAAAATGAAGCTTCATACGTCACTGATCACGTGATGATTGTAAGACGAATCAAGCTCCAGTACACTGCTTCACTGCGACATGTATCGTTTTTTTGATACATGTGTCGAAGCATCGATGCACAACGTCACATCACTAGTTATTAATATGTATCTGGCTTGTTAAACATTTCACAATAATTCATTTAACTCTAACTGATGCAGAGTGAAACTTTTTAGTTCTTTTTTTATATAATGTTTTATTAAGCTGAAACTTGAATGACAGTAAGTACATGACATGCAAACTGCATATTAAAGTCTGGTTTTGAACATGCAGAGTTTCTGGCATTTAGGAGTTACATGTACAAAGAAGGGAACTTTTTATTTCTAAAACTGCTATAGTTTAGGGCAGAATTATTAGCCCACTTGTTAAATTTAAATTCACTTTTAATTAATCCCAAAGTACTGTTTAAAGGGGAGTTTTTAAACACATATGTATTTAATTTTGGATCAGATTTTTTAAGGAGGCTAATAATATTGACCTATGCAATTATATAATTATTTTTCCCAGCCAAACTAAATGAAATAAGACTTTCTCCAGAAGAAAAGTATTATTGGAAATTCTGTGAAAATTTTCCTTGCTCTGTTAAACATCAGCTATGTCAAAAATATTTAAAAAATCATTTAGATTTTACTGGAGGGCTATAATTTTATATAGTCAATATACAAATAAATTAATAAACGAGTAAGTATAGTATATAAATATACAAACAAGTATTTACCATGCACTTTTTTGATGAACTTTGCAGATGTTTACATTCGAAGAACAGCTACTTTACAAACTGCAAATTAAATATTTTGTTAAAACCTATATGATCTGCTCTTTGAGTCAATTCTTGGCAAATTTCTCTATGAAAATTCACATTTGGAGGGTCATGTGTCTTTGCATTGTCATCCTGAAATATGATCATGGGATAAGGTCTTCCAACATGCTTTATTCCACATGGGAAAATTAGGTTGCCGCTAAAAGTGGTGTTAGTGAAGACAGCAGGTGGTGCTCACCTTGCAGTCTGTGTGTGTCCTAAAGCCCCAGTATAGTGAAGGTATGACACCATACTGCCAGTGAGCGTTGTCTTTTGGATGAGAAGTTGAACCGCGGTCCTGAATCTCAGTGATCATTAAAAATCCCAGGATGTCCTTCAAAAAGAGTAGGGGGTGTCTCAGGTATTCTGGCCAAATTTTCCCACCGGTCTTTCTATCCATATATATATCATGGCTTCTGTCTCCTCTTCACCAATAATCTGGTGTGTGGTGTGCGGTCTGACACAAAATGGCTGATGTCGCATCATACAGGTGGATGCATCACACTGTTGATGGTTGAGCAGATTCCCCCATAACCTTTAAAGCACTTTGAGTACCCAGAAATTATTATTAATTATTATTATTATTATCATTAAGAAAAATCCACCTAATGCATCTGTTAGGGTTAACATAACCGTTGACAAATACATGATGTGCAACATTTATTTTTTTTCTCTTTCTCTTAAACGCTTCTTCTGTTTAAAGATTATGAATGTGCAATCTAATAGTATGTGTATTTACCCAGATGATACATTGTGTGCTTTCATGTCCAGGTTTTGAGATCCCTGATGAGGATGCAGAAAAGTTGATGACCCCAGAACAGGTTGTACAGTACATCGCAGAAAAGAAGGAAGTTCATGAATGAGCATGACCTTTCATTGTGAGTTAATATTCACATCTTCGAGACGTTATAGTGTGACTTCAGATGAATCTCCTGCTCATGAACATTTATTTGTTGCTTTTTTTCATTCAGATCAAGACAATCCCATCAGATGAAAAAGATCATGGAGACTCTGTCGTGAACTTTTTCTGCTGTTCTTTATTTGTTTTGTATTTCAATACATGTTTAAATCTGTGTTCATTATTTTGTTGGTGGCCACTTGTCATTTTCTGGTTTGCAGTATTCTTCTGCTAGAGACATGCACAAAGAGCGTGCAAATATTGTGAATAATTCTTATGAATGCTGCAAAATAAAAACTTTAAATCAGTTTAAAGGAGATTACTTTTGTCTTCACATTTACATTATGAATCTTTATCAATCTTATAACATGTCAGTTATTGAAAAGATTTATCATCGATATGACCAATAATCTGGGGTTTGTAAGATTTTTTTAAAGTAAGTCTCTGCTCACCAAGGTTGCATTTATTTAATGGGCAATATGCAGAGCTAGAAGGTTCCTTTTACAGCATCGATGCTGTAATGTATTTTAAATATAATCAGTAAAATAGACTTAAGCATCCATTTGTAAAAAGAGACTTGTTTAAAAGCAGGTGCCATTATTAGCCACAGGCGGCCAGCACAGAAATTCCATTGAAAATACTGGGGTATAATTAATTTTCATATTTTAAAGACATGACACAGAAAAATATAGTTTAATGCAGTATTTTTCTGTTTGGTCTGATACCCACTTTATATCATATCGCAGGCAGGAAGTGAAGATCGCTGATTTTTATGCTGTTTTTTTGTTTTTAAGAAATCAGATTTTTATATATATATATATATATATATATATATATATATATATATATATATACAGTTGAAGTCAGAATTATTAGCCCCCCTGAATTATTACACAGCAATTATTATTTTTTTCACCAATTTCTGTTTAATGGAGGGAAGATTGTTTCAGCACATTTCTAAGCATAATAGTTTTAAAAACTCATTTCTAATAACGGATTTATTTCATCTTTGACATGATGACAGTAGATAATATTTAGCTTGATATTTTTCAAGACTCTTCTATACATCTTAAAGTGACATTTAAAAGCTTAACTACTGTAGGTTAATAAGGTGAACTAGGCAGGTTAAGGTAATTAGGCAAGTTATTGTATAACGATGGTTTGTTCTGTAGATTATCGAAAAAAAAAATTAGCTTAAAGGGGCTAATAATTTTGTCCCAAAATTGTTTTTTAAAAAATTAATAACTGCTTTTATTCTAGCCGAAATAAAACAAATAAGACTTTCTCCAGAAGATAAAATATTATCAGACATTCTGTGAAAATTTCCTTGCTCTGTTAAAAATAATTGGGGATATAAAAAAATCAAATCAAAAGGGGGCTAATAATTTTGACTTCAACTGTATATATATTTTTTCCCGGGGTTTTCACCTTTAATTAATAGGACAGTAGAGAGTACAGACAGGAAAGCGTGGGGAGCAGAGAGAGGGGAAGGATCGGCACAGGACCCCGAGGCGGGAACCAAACCAGGGCTGCCGTGAACATCAAACCAGAAATGCTTAACATACATACAATCAAAAAACAAATGCATAGCAGTCTCAACATTCATTCCACAAAAAACACAAGATTCTGAATAATCAACTTTATCTCTTGAGAGAACTGGATATATTTTATGTATAATTTTGAGTTAGTTTTCACTGACTTTATTAGTGACACAATATTTGTTGTTATAGGTTCATGTCAAATTCAAATAGTTTTTTCTAAAAGTGCTTATGTCAGTTCACATACTGTATAGTAGTGGTCGTGTTTAGTATGATATAGCACCACCCAGTGGAAATGATGTCCAAATCCAGTCTTACCCAAGAATTTTTCACAGTTTGAGCCAGGCGACGTTGTTAAGAAATGCTGTCCACTTCTCAACCTTCACCCCTTAAGTAAATGCAAATGAAAACTAATACAGTCTTCCTCTGTCATGACCTTAACTTTAAATCCTATTGAGCTCCTAACATTTTATTGCAGAAAGGTTTAAAAAGTGGTACTTTAACATTATTGCTTACATTTGCAAATGGATTCCTTTAATTTTAAGTTTCATGATTGGCTCCTCAGCATAAAAGGACCATCTGAAGCTTTGGATTTTCTTAAAGAACATTTAAAGCATTAAATAAACATAAATAGCCATGAATTCATTAAAAACTAATGTATGTATTTAAAAAAAGATGACAGTAAACCTTTAAAAGACCTATATGAACAATCTTTACATTTAAAGGCCTCTCCAATATTTGCAGAACATTACTGCAGAAATATCACATAAAAATCAAGCAAATAAACAAGAAATATATCGATTTTCTTTTTGTTTAGATGTATTTTAAAGCTAGTATTTTATTTTCAATTATTTTTTAGTCATCTCAAGGTTTAAAAGTTTGTTGTGGTTCTCCTAGTTGAGAACTGATTTAATAGTTCATCTCTAGACTCATAAACAAATGAGCAATATACTTGTGTTGTTATTTAGACTTGGGATTTAAACTCAACCTTCAATTTACTAGTAAACACAAACATTTTACTGAAGTTCAAAAGAGCTAAGATTTACAAGACTGTTTTATTTTCCCAATTATGAACTTAAATAAGGCCATGTTTCCTGTTTTCAGGTGTAATAAATCCTCCTCCCTCCCTCTGTTTATGTGTATTTTAGTGTGTTAGTGGACGTCTGTGAACATACCTCTCACTGTGATGATGAGAAGCCAGGCAGGGACGCTCCAGGCATTTCCTTCATTTTTGTGTTAGTAATGGTTTGGATTCCTGTGCATTAGGTGAAGTTTTAAATTAAATAATGAAATTACATTCTCGAACAAATGTTTGAGTTTTATTTAATGCTATAGGCCTACCTCCAATGCTGCATCTCCAAGGGAAAAAGGGTTGTCTTTAAAGCACTTCTGCTGTCAGTTTTACCTATACAAATGTAGACTACTGTGGTAATATTCTGGCATTTCATTTTTTTTTTGTTAGCCTACATTAAGTCCCCCAAAACTACTCTATCTGAGTTGTATATACAACCATTTTGAGTCAAGACTGACAATGATCTCTAAATGTCCTTCCCTGTTAATCTATTTTTCTAGATTGAATTGACAGCACAAGCTCGTCAGGAGCGCGCAAACAAATGCTGTCTCTGTTTTCTCTCACACAAACACACAACCTGGGTAATAAACATAATCTCGGAGTCTCCTATGTCCCCTTAACTTTTAACCGCTTCCGTCCCATGCTCTCTTTAAAAAGATACCTAATCGTAATCATTTGTTTGCACGTTGCTGTGTTTTCAACAGCCTGCAGGCGAGCTCGCGCGCGCGCTCACAGAGACACACACGAGCGCGCACAGTTCTACGGTCAGTTTCAGTGACGGACTGAGGGATGAACTTGAGTCCTCGATGGTCTTTTTAAAGAGAGATGCAAAAACTGCTACTAATCATCGTAATTTACAGTGTTTGACTAGTTTAAATATCGTCTACGTTATACTGAATTAGGCTATAATGTATAACTTTTAACGTTTCTTTATGGAATCAACTGTGGCAACGGATTTCTTCCTGGAATGTTTTGGCTCCGAAAATGCGTCATTTTGTGTATCTTTTCCTATTTATTTTACCTCCAGGTAAGATGAGTAATTTCACTACTGGTTTATTTCATTAATATTTAAATGCTGAACACATTTTTAAACGTTTTGCTAACTTATAGCTTACATTGTTACATGTTTCTTAAGAACATTGTTTAGAAATGTTTATTTTAAATAGTTGTAAATGTTTAAATTGAGATTAATCTACATCATATTATTTTAAAATGTATAGCTATACTGAATCAGTCACCTCAGCATCAGCATATAAACGTGTCAAAGGTAACTTCCCACGGGATTACCTTGTTTTGAGATGTGCCATAGTGTAGTATGGTGTCCAGAAGTAAGCCATGGAAATATCATGGCACGTGAATTTCACTAGCAAGGTATTTATACTTTAAAAAGTAATGTACTGTATTTTGTAATGTAATGTATATTTATATAGTGCATTTATCGTGTATTGCCATACACCCAAAGCACTTTACAATCATGAGGGGGTCTCTCTACACCTCTGTGCAGCATCCACTTGGATGATGTGATGGCAGCCACAGGACAATGGCGCCAGTGTGCGCACCACACACCACCAGCTATTGGTGGAGTGGAGAGACAGTGATAGAGCCAATTCGGTAGACTGGGATGATTAGAAGGCCATGATGGGTAAGGGCCGATGGTGGGAATTTGACCAGGACACCTGGGTTACACCTCTACTCTTTGCGAAAAGTGCCATGGGATTTTTAATGACCACAGAGAGCCAGGACCTCGGTTTAAAATTTCATCCGAAAGACGGCGCTCACTGACAGTATAGTTTTCCCTTCGCTATACTGGGGCATTAGGACTCATACAGAGCAGGTTGAGCGCCCTCTGCTGGCCTCACTAACACCACTTCCAACAGCAACCTAGTTTTACGGAGCGTACTTTACAAGTGTAATTCTGGAACTAGATGTTAAACAATGCATTGTATTGAAAAATTATACATTGTTCTGATATTCCTGACTTAACTTTTAGGTGAAAACTGTAATGCATTTTAATTTATTAAAGGCAGATATGACAGTAATGATGTTTCTTTGCAGGTAACACTCTTTTGAACTCGAGCCAAGACTGTGGAGGTAAAATTCTTGGAGAGCATAGTGGCTCAATCCGGTACTCTTTACACCCGAGCAGACTTTTATTTGACAGAATTACTAACGACAGCAAAGAAAAGCAGTTGGATATTACGTGTACTTGGATTATCGATGTACATGAAAATCAGACTGTGTGGATAGATGCTATTTCTGTTGGGAAGGGAGCTCGTATTGGGATTACATTTGGGAATGGAGATACAGTGATCTACGAAAAGGATGAGCAGGAGATATTTTCTGGCACTGGGAGAACTGTTGTTGAGTGGAGCTTAAAAAGGACCGACAAAACATTTGCCACATTACATCTGAGTAAGTGTAAAAAAAAAGTCACTTGCATGCCTGTGTAATGTCAATGTCATTAATTTAAAGATTTTTTAAAAATATTTCCCAAATAATGTTTAATAGAGCAAGGAAATTTTCACAGTATGTCTGATAATATTTTATCTTCTGGAGAAAGTCTTGTTTGTTTTATTTCAGCTAGAATAAAAGCAGTTTTAAATCTTTTAAAAACTATTTAAGGTCAAAATTATTAGCCTATTTAAGCTACAAATTTTTCGATAGTCTACAGAGCAAACTATCATTATACATTAACCTATGACTAATTACCCTAACATGCCTAGTAAACCTAATTAACCTAGTTAAGCCTTAAATGTATTATTTACTGTCATCATGGCAAAGATAAAAAAAAATCAGTTATTAGAATAGAGATGATTTATTTAAACTATTATGTGTAGAAATGTGTTGTAAAAATCTTCTCTCCGTTAAACAGAAATTAAGGAAAAAGATAAACAGGGGGCTAATCATTCTGACTTCAACTGTACGTACATGCCAAGTATAATAATGTTACCATAGTGTTTTGGACATAGACATGATGTACCTTAACATATAGAGTCAAGCCCTAAATTATTTATAAAACATCTTAATAACATTGCTTTTATTCAACCAGCAAGATTTTTTTTTGACCTGTAATGACACAGGCTTCTCCCGAAATATAATAAGACTATGCACAAGAAACAACCTTGTGGAAAAATCTATTTACATTTGAGTAAAAGCTTTAAAATTTGCCAGGTGTATGAATAATTTCAGGCTTGACTGTATGTCAATTTCAAAGTAGATGAAATTTTTTATACAAAGACAATTTCAAAGTAGTATTAGCATCAGCCTAAACAGTCAGTACAAGGCACTTGAAAAATGTAAAAAAAAAAAAAATTTAAAGTTTATTGGCATGGCTATTTCCTAAAACCGTGCCCACATGTTTCGGCAAACACTTCGGCAGAACCAGCAAGTGTTTGCCAAAACATGTAGGCGAAGTTTTAAGGAATAGCCATGCCAATAAAGGTTTTTCATTAATTTTTCCACATTTTCAGAGTGCCTTGGACTGACTTTTGCTGTTTATTTTAATAAATCCCTTACCCAAAGAGCACCGACACATTATTTAAGCTACCCTTAAACACTATTTGTTTGAATTTAGGATATTAGCATCCCTATACCATAACACAACTGTACCATCTTGCAAAGTGGTAACTGGTATGTAGAAAAACAATGGTAAAAAAAACATGTTGTAGATACATCAAAAAAAAAAAACAGATGCATTAAATATTAAGAAGTTAGGCCATAGGAGAAATGGTCGTGCCCAACTGAGCCTGGTTCCTCTTGAGGTTTTTTTCCTTCACTTTCGTCAATTGGTGAAGTTTGTTCCTGGCCACTGTCACCACTGGTTTTAGGATTTGTGGAGCTGCGCATCGATGGAATTGCCTTTTTAGTATTTGGAGTCGCAGCAGGGAAAATTACTGAACTAAACTGAACTTAAACTCTGAAAACTGGACTGACACAGATTCAATTTACTATAATCTTCTATGTTAAGCTGCTTTGACACAATCTACATTGTAAAAGTGCTATATAAATAAAAATGAATTGAACTGAATGAGCATAGGATACTTTCAAACAGTAGTTTATGCAAAAAGTGTGAACAATAACCAATGAGAGTGTGGTATGTTTATTTTCCTCCCCTTAGTGTTTAAATCTTGTGTCTTGAATTATCTCATAATTCCTGTTTCCATTCACGCTTGGTGTCTGTGTGTGTTTTTCTCAGGATGGAACACGTCAGAGGAGAATCAGACTTCTGCTTTGATTCCTTACACCCACTCTGAAGCTGACCCGGTTTCTCCCTCTCCGAGTTCCTCAAACGGTGTAACCTACACCCCTGACATTCCAGTGAACAGCAATGAAACCCCCAAAACACACAGTGTAGGTGGAAAGAGTATACGGCAGGGCGGAGGTGTGTCTGACCTGGCCGATAAGCACAGACCCCTCTATCCACAGGAAACCACCAACAATGGACAGGAAACGGCTGGAGTCTGGATCTCTGACCTCGCGTTCACTGGCACACATTCTTATTCTGATACACACACCAACTCTGGCCTTGACGCAAACATGGACACGCTTGCAGTATTGTCTGACGAACCTCCTTTGGCTCAGTCGTCCACTAAAGACCAATCGCCATTGCTTTCTGCACAAACTACGCCCAGTTCGACAGCTCCCATTGCTGCAAAAACAAGCACTCTTTTAGACACAAATAATGTTGCGTTCACCGAATTGCACAGAGGAAGTTCACAACCCACACACACACATGCATTTACTCAAATCCAGTTCAAAACAGTTAAAAGAGGTGATCTAAGTTCAATTTTTCCTACTTCCAGCTATATGGCGGTAAGTCCACCAAATATTGAGCCGTTCAATCAAACATCCACACAGGCAGATTACATTAGCGACAGTGCTACCAAGGATACACCTACTACCAGGACAGGGTTTAAAAGGGATGTGTTAACAATGTCTGAGAAGATTGGGACAAGTCAATTTCATGCAACTGTTTGGAGCTCAAACACAATCACAGATGACAGCCAATCTGTAGCTTCAGAGGCAGACAAGACAGATCATTCTCCAAGGTCAACAAATCCTAATCAAAGCATTGCTAATCAAACAATCAATGAGGATTTAGTTATGACTACTAGCACGCTTGCTACAGTATCAAGATTTCCAAGCCAAACCAATCCTTTAACGTTTTCTGACAGCGACATGACTGAATACTCCAGTTACTCCACATCTCCAAGTGAGCCACCCATAAATGTTACCACTGATATTGAACCAACAGCTTCAAGTAGCACTCTTGCAACTTCTGAAATGTTAACCACGCACATCGTCCAAAGTCACCATACAAGTGCTCAAGAAACCAGCTCTGCATCTGCTCCTGTCTTTGACCTGACATCTCACAACAATAACAAAATCAGTGCATTCATCACTTTCTCCACTACAGACCTGACCCCCACTGAGAGTCCAAGTACATCAGAGGTGGATGAAGGGTTTTCAACTCATGGAAGAGATTGCCTTGGTCTTGGATGCACCTCGTTTTTACCATCTACTGTACAAAGAGTAAAAGATACCCCCATAACCAGCCCTCCATCGATTTCTGCAAGTCCTCAGATTAGTCCAAACATGACTTCTGACCCCTCTTCTGAGGATAGCACTACAGTAAGACTTGAGAACCGCACTAATGTGGAGCAATCTGATGTTTCCCCATCACAGGTCCAGAATATCAACACAAAATCAAGTATGCATACTGATTTATACACATCTACACCTCAGTATCCATCTTCCAAAACCGCACAGAGCTACGGGGAGTTTTCTGATGTAACAGATATCAGTAAGATGACAAGTAGTCAAACGGAAAGTACAAGCCAATCAAGTACTAGTACGACGAGTTCAAAGACAACTCTTGGCTTATCTCGATTTAATACTGAATCATCAGAAAACACTAATGGTTTTACTTCATCTTATCACTTCACAACTCCCTCCGTCTTTCAGGTCAGTACAACTGATCATACCATTCAAACCAGTACCACTGATGGCATAACCACTCCACACTGGGAAACTAGTCAGACTTCAGTGGTTCACACATCTTCAGTAACCATCCCACAGGTGAATCCGCACACCACGACCACAGAAACGACTTCAGCCCGGGTTCATAAGCAGTCTCAGCCTGGAACTTTTAGACCTCTCCAACATACAACCACAAGCTCTTTTGTTATTCACACAAAAGCACGCAAAATACCTACGCAAACAGTTAGCCATTCTACTGCATCCAGCTTTGACAAGAAGTGGCCACATGGACGCCATTATTTCATAGTGGATGACCAGCCAGTGATCTTCAAGGGTGAGAAACAGCTCTTGTCTTTTTGAGGCTGCTCTGCAATTTTGCACATTTCTAAATGAAAGTTTTCCTTTTTTTCTTCTTTTTTTTTCAGAAAAAACATTTCAAGTGCTCCTACAAATCGTCCTAGAAGGAGATTATGTGCCTAGTGTGAAACTTCTGGAGGTGAAACTATTTGAATTACATATATTACTGTTCAAAAGTTTGACCCAATTGGTGTTAGGATTAGGCTAGGATTTAGTTTTTTATTTTACCCTTACAGAAAAAAAAACACAAGTGTCATTTGAGGGTCATAATGTGTATCACATGTAAAACATATAAAACGTATCAATTTCATATGAAAGTAACACAATCGAGTCAAAAATATTTTAACATGATCGACTGATTTCTTTTCCAAAGGGAGGAGTATGTGCGCCTATAGACGTTCTGGTCTAAAAAAGGTGGCGTGTTAAGGCGCGTTGCTATTTTGAGGAACTAAAATAGACTGTTCAATAGACCAGCAGAGAGGAGGTCTAAAGTCCAGCGCAGAGCGCGTTAGTTGGCGCCTTGCTTAAACATTGCTTAATACACACAGGATGTACAGCAACACGCAGATATCTGAAAAAGAATTAAAGGATTAAAATATTACAAAAAATATTATTTTCTAGCCTACATAAATATAAAAACCACTGCCTCCATGCCTTCTTCATCTCGGGGGGCTTTTTAGTTATTTCATGACAATTTGCTTTTGTATAATGTCATTATTAGTAATAGTATTATTTATTATATGCAGATTCATATTTGTTTTATTAAAAACAAGCTTAGATTTGCTCACATATCAGGTTTTAGACCATATGGGGCAGAGCATGTGTACTTGGATATAACGCAAGCTTTTTGACCACACTTCATTATTATTGTTCATTTATTCGTTTGCTGGAAATTACAACTGAATTTAGAAATAGATTTGAAAGAAATCTTTGCGCTTAATAAAGTAAATTAATTATATATAGGCTAATGGATGTCTGTGCGTACAACACGTTTCCCTATTCACGAGAGTGAAAGTGAAAGTAAAGAATGAGAAGGCTCATCTCTTATTCTCGCGGTGTAAATGCTCTATTTAACTGCTCTCGCTAGTGAAGCGTTCAGGTTTTCCATTATTCAAAGTCTGCCGTGTAAATAGCAAATGCGCTATGGAGCAACGCAACTGACTTTTAAAGGGAATGGGAGATGAGCCACTGATTGGTTTATTCTTAAAGCACACCTTTGACTCATTAAGAGAATAAGCTCAACCCTTTTAGCAGATTTTTCCATCCTTAAAATAGCAAAAGTGAATTCTGACGCGTCCTTAATGCTTTTGCACCCTGCGCTTTGGACTTTGCACCTGGATCATCAAAATAGAGTCCTCAGACTGCATTTATTTAATCAGAAATACAGCAAAATTGTAAAATTATGAATATTATTACAGTTTACTATTATTACAACTTACTAACTGTGATCTATTTTTTAAAGTAATTTAATATCATTTATACCTGTGATAGCAAAGCTGTCATGACACCAGTCATTACTTCTCCAGGCATCTCTGATAGAAAGTTCAGATAATAATAATACAAAATATAAAATTTTTCTTTTTCTTTAGTGTCAGTTTAAGGCATCTTTGCTGAATGCTGATTTCATTAAAATGACCTGTAGTGTATGGTTATAGCATAGATTCTTAAACTTGGTCCTGGAGGGCCAGTATCCTGCAGATTGTAGGTCCAACAAACCTGCCTCAACATACCTACAGGGATGTTTCTAGAAAGCCTAGCTTAGCTAGCCTAGCTATCCCAGGTGTGTCTGATTGGGGTTGGAACTAAACTTTGCAGGACACCAGTCCTCCAGGACCGAGTTTGAGAACCCCTGGTGTATACCCATGATGACAGCAGATGATTGATGTCATAAGACAGGGATGTCAAACTCAATTCTTGTAGGGCCGCAGCCCTGCACAGTCTCACGCAGTCAAGTGATGCGATTTCACAGGTCAGAGTTTACCAAGCTTGAACTTTGCACCTCAGCAACCTGCGAAACTTGACGCATTTGCGTACGTAGGAATGGAAGTCTATGGGGAGACAAGTCCAGTGTGACTGCAGCTTTACCTGTAGGTTTTAAACAAGCCTGAAGGACTCAATTAGTTTGATCAGGTGTGTGTAATTAGGGTTGGAACAGTTTAAAATCCCTGTCATAAGAAAAAAACATCCACTCCTGCAGGTGGAGACATTTCTGCAGAAAGTTGCTGGGTTTCAGAATCAACATGTAACCTGGCACAGGTAAAGAGCTTCACTAGCCTATTCTCAATTCACAGTGTTTTAGCATAAAAAAATTATCGAGAGAACCAGATTTTTGATTGATTTTCTGATGGTATCTTCATCAGTGGTCCAGTTCTACAGACAGTGGTTCAGTTCCAAACAGTGCAAGCGCTCTCCTGGCTGGGAAGGGTGGAGTCTTTGTTACGGGAGGCGGGGTTAAACCCACTGCCAAAGAAAGGATTATTTGTGGGTGGAGTTAGAGTGAAGAATATTACAGAAGGAGGTGAGTGTCAATCATATCTGTTTTATATATCTATTCCATACAGTTTTGAGAAAAAAATAAATAAATTTTTGGGTGTATCTATATTTGTAAAATACACATCTATACATATTTTTGCAATATTATATTTATTGTTTTATCTAGATCTGTTCAGTTTTCTGCAAATAAATTCTTCCTTTACATGCCTTGTATTGACCAAAGTATCCAGAGAATCAATAATAACTTTGAAACAGTCTCTTTTTTTCCTAGAACTGAATATGGAGTATATAAAATATTGTTAACTTAAAGGTGCTGTATGTAAATTTTTGACTCTTCTAAAGCATAAAATCATGTGTTTGCAGATATTTAAGAAACATGCTAAGTGAACATATTAGTTTATCTGAAAAACAATGCTGAAGTCAGATATTCTGCTTTGAAAATGTGTTTTCCGTGTCGGAACGCTGTCTTTGTTTTGGTTCTTTTAACCCGCCCAATGCCAGTTTAGTCAAGCATATTTCAGCACCTGGGTTGCCTTGGTGGAAAACCACATATTTCATTCATTCATTCCGAAAGATTCTGAAAGCAAGCGTCCAAAATGCGACCTCCGGTGGATAGACAGTAGCAGACTCAAAGTAAGACAGACTTAGTTCAACATGAGGTTATTAATTGGCAAATTATATAAATATTATGAAAGTAACCATTAGGTGAGCAGGTTAACCTCGTAACCTCGTGTCCTAACAACATGCTTCAAGATGAGATATGCAGTGATAAGCAGTATGGCTGTTTGCACCAGACGAAACACAACAGAAATTTAAAAACAGCCATTCAGAAGCACAGAATATGACCTCACTCACAAAATGGTAAGCCTTATAATCTAATTAATACATATTAAACCTCTTTACCATTATTAAATGTACTTGCTTAATCACTGATATATGTTTAGTTCTAAAGTTTATATTCAAAGGGTTTATTTTATTTTCAAGATCTGAGGTTAACTCATTTTATTGTGGAAAATATCGGGTGCCTTTGCTTTTATTTGGAACACGATTTATATAAGCCTTTAGGCTCGACTGTCAGATTTGCTCCTGTCCTCAATCTGGCAACCTGCGCTTGCGTTTGTTTCAAGTGGTGGTGCTGCAGAGCCATTTGGGCAGAGCTGAGCTCCAGCGAGGGGGAGCATGAGCTCTCGCTCCTCTTTTCTTGCACTTCTTCTACGAGTGATGTCACTGGGGGTAGGGTTAGGGGTGGGGTTGGTTTACGCATTAAAACAGCTTACAGGAGGATGAGCGAGAGCTCATGCTCGCCCTCGCTGGAGCTCAGCTCTGCTCAAATGGCTCTGCAGCGAGCACCGTCTCGTTTGTTTTGATCCAGGAGTGCTATACCTTGTTCTACCACTGGGTGTGAAACTTACAAACTGCACCTTTAACTTTTTGTATGGGCTCCTAAAGTTTGTGAAATATAGTTTTACTCACACCTTATGTAAGTTTTGGAAAAAACTCAAGGTTTCCCTGAGAACCTAAGTATTGTGAGAAAACACAAAAGCATTAAAACATTTTGTATTTCATTTCATTTTCTCACTATCACCGTACCACTATCAATGAGACAGTCCACCCAAATATGAGAAATTTGAAATCATTTACTCTCCCTTCACTTTTTCCAAACACAAAGTAAGATAGACTAAAGAATGCTGAAAAAAGGCATTGACTTCCACAGTATTTCTGTTCCTAAAAACGAATGTCGATGGCTGCATTTTTCAGATTTTGATCTTATTTTGTGTTCAATAGAAGAAAAAAATCATGATAGTTTACAACTACTTATGTATGTGTGTGAGTAAATTTTAATGTTTGCATAAACCATCCCTTTAGGTACCAACTTCTTTCTCTCTCTTTCAGGTTTGCAGACAGATGCTTGTGAATGGTTGCTTGAATGTCCGTCTGGGTTCCAGTGTGTCTCCTCCAAGGGAAATGCCACCTGTACATCTGTGTGCCACTCTGAATACTGTAAACATCAGGGCATCTGTGTTCACCGCCTCGGGCAGCAGCCTATCTGCCAGTAAGTTATATAGCATAACAGATTTTTGACTTGCGGCATAAAGCCTGGTCTATGTTAATCAGGAACTGCCCAGTCAAACAAGAAGAAACCATCTGACCAATATGCACAGCTTGTAAACAGCACTGATTAAAGTCCTGCTGAAATAACCAGGCTGTCTCTTTCTGAAGGTGTCCCGTCGGGGAGGATTACTGGTTTATGGGCCAGCGATGTGACCTCCGCATGACCCGGCCGCGTCTGGTTGGCGTATGTTTTGGGGTACTAGTTGCTGTCGCAGCAGTCATGGCTCTTCTGTCATATCTCGCTGTGCGCCGGTTTAAAAGCATGCTAATGCAAGCCAAAGCGGAGCAAACACGCAGCAGGTATGACATGTGCAATCATTTCAATGGAACATTTTACAACTCTCCTAGACTTTAACAGTTGAGTTTTACCATCTTTGAATCCATTCAGCCAATCACCAGGTCTGGTGGGAGCTTTAGCTTAGCATAGATCATTGAATTAGATTAGACCACTAGCGTCTGGTTAAAAAAAAAAATTAAAGCTTGACTATTGTGTACTAAGACTGGTGGAAAAAGAAAAGTTGCTATATTCTAGGTCAGTAAGCTCAGGCATAATGATAGGCAGCTCTTGAAAATAGTTCCCAGCTAAGTAACTAGATTACAGTGCTGCATATCATTTCGCCTGCTGCAGCCATGGTATAGTGGCAAAGTTTCTTGAACTTTTCATTTTCTATAGGTCTTAGTACACGATGTAACTACAGAAGAGTGAATCTTTAAATAGGACAATTATCAAAACTTTTATTTGAATTTTTGCAGCAAGTTGCTAATGGTCTAATCCAGGCATGTCCAAACTTGGGACTGGAGGGCACGTGTCCTGCAAAGTTTAGGTCCAACCCCAATCAGACACACCTGGCCAAGCTAATCAACCTCTTACTAGGCTTTCTAGAAACATCTTTGCAGGTGTGTTGAGGCAAGTTGGAGCTCAAATCTGCAGGACACCGGCCCTCCAGGACTGAGTTTGGACATCCCTGGTCTAATCCAATTAATGATTAATGCGAAGCTAAGCTAAAAGTGTTCCTGGAAGTTTCTGTGATGGACTGAACAGATTAAAAATGGCCAACTGTTTACATCTAGTAGAGTTGTAAAATGAGCTTATTTTTTAAAAAAGTGGAATGTTCCTTTAAACACACACGCACACACAAATCTGTCTGTTTTTGTTATTGGAAACAGTTTGCAGGAAGCCATCACACTATGGGTTTGTGATAGCACCACTTAAAGGGAGGGAATGGGTTGTGTGATCACACACAGACACACTACTGTAAATTAATTTTACTAACAATCCATTGTGTTCTGTGTGTGTGTCTTCTGTGTGTGTGTGTGGACACAGTTATCGCAGATTTAATCACTTTGATGAGCTTTCGGCTCGTTTTTGGGGAAGGTCCTGGCCTGGCTCTGAGGACTCTCTGGATAACCCTGGCTTCACCCGCTCAGATGAACTGCTTCACCTGAGGGCTCTCGACCGCACCTGCTGTTACCATGACGACACTCTATCAGTGGTGTCCACATACCATGGTAGCGGAGCACACCTCAACACTGTATATCCTCATGGGTACAGTATGATTTATGGGATATTATCAAATGAACAATGGTGCTTGCCGTTTGTTTTACACTGTTCATTCATTCATTTTCTTGTCGGCTTAGTCCCTTTATTAATCTGGGGTCGCCACAGCAGAATGAACCGCCAACTTATCCAGCAAGTTTTTACTCAGCGGATGCCCTTCCAGCTGCAACCCATCTCTGGGAAACATCCACACACACATTCACACACACTCATACACTACGGACAATTTAGCCTACCCAATTCACCTGAACCGCATGTCTTTGGACTGTGGGGGAAACCGGAGCACCCGGAGGAAACCCACGCGAACGCAGGGAGAACATGCAAACTCCACACAGAAACGCCAACTGAGCCGAGGCTCGAACCAGCGACCTTCTTACTGTAAGGCGACAGCACTACCTACTGTGCCACTGCTTCGCCTACACTATGTGTACTTACTTCTGACCTGAAAAAGAACTGGGTTATATGAAGTAACTGCATGGATTAAGGTTAGGATGAGGAGTAGGTTTAAGATCAATGACCAGTTACTGCACAGTTTATGTAATGAGTATTTGCATGGTCAGCCAAAACAGAACTATAAATTTCTACCAACCGATGGTTTGCCATGTTATTTGGAATTGACACTATAGTAAACTACTGTTTCAGAAGTTTGGCGTCTTTAATTTTTTAAAATGTTTTTGTAAATCATTTATAATGCTGAAGAGGACTTTTAGGCCCAATCCCAATTTAATCCTAATCCTATCCCAATTCGCCTTTTCCCTTACCCCTACCCTCATTTTGCGATTTCACGTGAAGAGTTTGGGGTGTCCTAATTCTCTTTAACTTGAAGGCTTATGGCTAAGGGGAAGGGCTGGATAGCCCTTAAACTGAGATTTTTCAGGACCAAACTCGAAACCAAAGAGTACAAAACTTTCCCAGAATACACCATCTACAACGGCAGCATGGCTGCACACGGAAGTCAGGAGATGCACAGATGTGTGTTTTTTGTCATTATTACGATTTTTTCCCCACAACCAAGCATTTTTTTCATACACTCACAAAAACTGCAAAATTTTGCTATCTATAATCCATTCCCACATAGCAAAATATCTCTGGCCCAGCTCTGGCCCACACAATCAGGTTTTGCTTGGCCCACACGCCGCAGTGAATTACTGTAAATGACTGGACCATGTCTGGCTTCCAGACAAGGGCCAAACATGGACCATATCTGGGCCAAGTTTCAGCCAAGTTACTAACCCAAAACTGAGACTTAACTGGGCCACATATGTTGGTGTGTCACAACAATGAAACTGATAAACCCATGAAGCATTGCGCTTTAGGCGTGCTATGGGCATGCATTTTCTCAAAGTGACCTGATCGATAGAATTCTTTTTCTCCATTTGAAAATAATAATGCATTTTAAATGTGGGTCAAGATAGGTCAAACTTACATGGCCCGCATATCAATTATTAACACCTGGGCCAAATAACACATTTGACATCAGGCCCAAGTATTGTGTGCCGCCTTAAAGATGGTGCCACCTCTGCCAAACCAGGGCCATTTTTGGCCACATGCTGTATGCCAGTGCCAGATGAATGCTTGCTGTGCCAGATTTAAAGCCAAACCTGGTTAATAATAACTCCTGTATATTAGTCCCACAACATACTTTCCTATCTGACACTCGATGACACTCGAATACCCTGTCAGAAAAGTCTAGTGGCTGGGAATGGGCTTTTTACAGTGTCTGCTATAATTTTAATGCTGTTTTCGTGTGTTTACAATAGATGGATATATGGTGTAAATGCACAGTAGTTCCAATCTTATTGCCACATTTTTATTGTTATAATAACATGATATACACTTCAATGATTTCCTAAAGATAAATACCAAAAAAAAAAAAAAAAATGTATGCAACTAGAATAACTACAGCAGTCATGATCTTCGATCTCATATGTAGTAAGAGAAAGTGATGACATATAATGACGTGTGCAGGTGTTGTAGTGGTGTCCCATTTCTTAGGGGTAAATTTTGAAGCCCTTCCCCTTCACACTCAAGGGGAGGGGGTAGGGGTACAAAAATAAAATTGGGATTGGGCCTTATTTAATAATAAAGAAATAGTAAAACAGGTTTATTGTAAAGTACAATTTAAAACTTCAAAATATTAAAAATGTAGTTATTCCTGCGATGGGAAAGCTGAATTTTTAGCCTTATTTCTCCAATATAAACTGTGACAAGTCGCTAAATTCTGCCATTTTGAATTATGTTTATTATATTATGTAATATTTCTATTGAATAATGATTTTGAAAGAACAGCAGTTATTTTAAATATTTTTTTTCTGACATATTTTGTAAGATTCTTTCTAATTGTTGTTTCTGTCACTTTTTGATTTAATGCATCATCCCAAGGTTTCATTTCTAAACATAAAACCCAAACATTAAAACAGAACTGTATTTAGCAGATTTTCTTTTACACGTGTTTGGTTTCCAGTTCTCAGTATGGCTGGGATCTCAGCAACTGCAGCCTGGCAGATGGTGTGGTGGATTCTGGGAAGGCTAGTGACTTATCAGTGTGTAGCTGGCCGATTGAGCCGATTCAGTGGACACCATTCCCTTTACTGCAGCAGCTGTCCAGAAATACCACCACGGTAAGAACAATACACACAAAAAGTTCATCAATATATTGCTGTAAATCAATGAAATATAACCGTTCTTCACATCCAGGTCAAAGCATCTCGTCCTCGCTCTTACTGTGAAGGCATGGAGCTGGTGGACTTGGAGAAGAGCTGGACTGCATAACGGGCACTCCAAATGTGAGAATATTACATCTTCTTAAGAAACATGATTGTTGTGCCCAACAATAATAAAATGTCAATTTACTGAAATAAAAGGCTTTTGAGATTTGCTTTCAGCATGAACTGCAAAATGTTCAAGAGTTTGGGGTCCGTAGCGATTCATTTGTAATTAATGAAAGCTTTATTTGGGAAGGATACATTAAATTGTCAAAGATGGCAGCTGAAACATGTACACTGACTGGCCACTTTATTAGGTACACCTGTCCAACTTGTTAACGCAAATTTCTAATCAGCCAATCACATGGCAGCAACTCAATGCCTTTAGGCATGTAGACATAGTCAAGACGATCTGCTGCCGTTTAAATCGAGCATCAGAATGGGGAAGAAAGGTGATTTAAGTGACTTTAAATGTGGCATGGTTGTTGGTGCCGGTCTGAGTATTTCAAAAACTGCTGATCTACTGGGATTTTCACGCACAACCATCTCTAGGGTTTATAGAAAATAGTCAGAAAAAGAGAAAATCTCTACTGAGCAGCAGTTCTGTGGTCACAAATGCCTTGTTGATGCCAGAGGTCAGAGGAGAATGGCCATACTGGTTCAAGCTGAGAGAAAGGCAACAGTAACTTGAATAACCACTCGTTACAACAGAGGTATGCAGAAGAGCATCTCTGAATGCACAACACATCCAACCTTGAGGCAGATGGGCCACACCGAGTGCCGCTCCTGTCAGCTAAGAACAAGAAACTGAGGCTACAATTCACACAGGCTCACCAAAATTGGAGAATAGAAGATTGGAGAAATGTTGCCTGGTCTGATGAGTCTCGATTTCTGCTGCGACATTCGAAGGGTAGGGTCAGAATTTGGCATCAACAACATGAAAGCATGAATCCATTCTGCCTTGTTTCAGCGGTTTAGGCTGGTGGTGGTGGTTTAATGGTGAGGCGGATATTTTCTTGGCTTTCATTGGGCCCATTAGTACCAATTGAGCATCATGTCAAGGTCACAGCCTACCAACCATGTCCATCTCTTTATGACCACAGTGTACCCATCTTCTGATGGCTATTTCCAGCAGAATAACACACCATGTCATAAAGCGCAAATCATCTCAGACTGGTTTCTTGAACATGACACGTTTCATGAACATGATACTCAAATGGCCTTCAAAGTCACCAGCTCTCAATCCAATAGAACACCTTTGAAATGTTGTATTTATTGCATAATGAATGTGCAGCCAACAAATTTGCAGCAACTGCGTGATGCTATCATGTCAATATGGACCAAAATGTCTAAGGAAGATTTCCAGCACCTTGTTAAATCTATGCCATGAAGAATTAAGGCAGTTCTAAAGGCAAAACGGGGTTCAACTTAGAACCCTAGTAATGTGTACCTAATAAAGTGGCCGGTGAGTGTATAATGATTTCTGTTTCAGATGTGTGTGGTGACAATTCAGCTTTGCCAGCACAGGACTGAAAAACGACTGAACTGCATTTAAACTGTAGTAATATTTGACAATGTTACAGTGTATCTGTATTTATTTTAAATTCTTAATGCTTCCACACTTCTCAATAATAATGGATGTGTAAAATTCAGTTGGAATAAAATGTGGTACTTATATCTAATTATATAACACATTGTTTTTCATATTAAAAGATTAAAATGAACAAATAATAGTTTGGAAGAATATTTTATTTCATCTCTGACAGGACAAACCTGTGTCAGGCGACTTATATTTTTGCATTCTGATTGGCTGACATGCATCAGTCTAGTCATGTGTGACCTAAACATACTAATGTCACCCAGTTCTGTCCTCATTGAGCGTAATGAAATCAATCCATTTAACCACTGCAGCTCCAGGCCAGCTGTCCTATCACTTTTAGGGTCAGTACATTTTGTATACTAATAGTCTGCTATACCACACACTCCAACAGAAGTAAACTATTAATATTAGCACTAAAAAATCCCCATTCATAGTCAATAATTGGCACTATTATTACCAAGCGTTGGTACATATTGTCAATTAAAAAATATTTATTTGCCTGTTTTGTATTTGTATCACAAAAGGAAACACAATATGCCAGACACACACACTAGCATATATATTTATACAACAGTTCTGTCTGGTTCTCGAATCTGATTGGCTGATAGCCGTGAGATATTAAAGTAATATCAGCAATAGTGCAGCCCTTGTGTATTACTCCGCCAATCAGAGGACTACAAATATTGCTGCTGTTGGACAACATAATGTAGTTTTAAAGCTTTTTTTAGTCGAGAATATGGTTGTTTAGATTGCAGCCATGCAGTTTATTTATAAGGATAGTGCCTAACTTAAATATTCATAATTTCGGAGATTATTCCGTTGACAGCCAGCCTACCATACTGAGCAGAGCAAAGACGATTGACGTTCCGCCACAAGATGGTGACAGAGACAGCATATTAAGAAAAACTGCATTTTTTCAGCATACATTTCAAACAACAGCTGAACAAATCATTACAGAACAGGTAAATGACATTCTAAGTCGATCTCTCTCTTTCATGTGTTGTATTGCTGTATTTATACAACATTAATCTGTTAGTGTTTGCTTTGCTCTGGCTTTTTTATTGTTAATTATTGTGAAATCCCGATTGCAACCGAGAAATATTGGGAAATCATGCCGTTCAGCTTTATAATCTTAAAATGTGAGCAAAATCACCTGTTTTGTCATCATTTTAAACATTATGCTAAAGAATCATTCAAATGCTAGCTCTAAAAGACGTTGGTGAATTAGCAAGTTATTTAGGTTTCTGCTGTTCTGAGCATGTGAATGAATGGCGGAAGAAAGTAGTTCCTCTTACAAAAGGGTTTTTAAGACTCCGTGTTTGATTATCTTTTTTATATACATGATTATGCTGTCAAACTGTTGTATAAATGCAATATCACACTTGTAGCAGTGTGATATGGCTGTGTATCACCACTGGTGGGGCCCTAAGGCATTCGGCCTGTGGCCTCAAGCCAACACATGCCTCCCATTAGTGCTGATATACAGCCATATCGCACTGCTACTCAAGTGATCTTGCTCATGTATATCAAATCATATTCAAATATCATTACATACATTTTAGCACTGGATGGAAATTGCAGACATGAGAATAATGCTTTATGTTTTTAGAAAAGCTGTAAAGTAGACTATAGATTTATATGGATCTAGAAATGATGGACCCTTTTCAGACTTCACACTTGGTCAGGGGCGGACTGGGACAAAAATTCAGCCCTGGCACTGTAGCCACATCAGCCAACATTACCACACCGACACAACCCACCCACGGAAACAGACATTTACTATTTATTTTGGTGTACAGATGGTGAAATAATATGACATTCTGGCCAGATTTTGATTACGTCCCGGTAACCTCGGATTGGGTCGGCCCATCTTGAAATCAGGCGGCTGTCACTAATTGGGCCGAATGCTTAACATTTATTATTATTATTTTTATTATCATCATCATAATATCACATCTAGCAAGACATAAAAGCTGCCTGCACTTAAGAACAATACATATTAAAAAAATAAAAAACTGACCGGCCCTCATTTAAAAATTGGTCCGGCCCTTCTGGCATTTGCCAGAATTGCCAGATGGCCAGTCCGCCCCTGCACTTGGTTACTTTTTATAATAATGCCCAAATCGTTTTGGGTTTCCAATTTCTCCAATAGCTGAAGAAATAATCCATGATTAAATGTCTTAACGTGTCAAATTAATTACAACTTGATGTCATTCCCTCATTCGTTATGACAGAAACACAACAGATTTAACTCCATTTCTTAAAGTTTATTTCAAGGTGACAGAACATAAAGTATAGCGTTATAAATATAAATAAATTACCTGTATCTGTGATTTTAAAGGGATAGTTCACTCCAAAATTAACTACATTTACTCATCCTTCACTTGTCACAAACCTGTTTTTTTGCTTACTTTTATCCGTTAAACACACAAAAAAAAAGATATAAAAAATGTTGGACACTGGAAGCCATGGACTTCCATTCTATGCATGTCAATGACTACCAATATCCAACATTAATCAAAATATCTTCTTTTGTGTTTCATACAACGTTAAAAAAATTAAAACAGGTTTGGAAATATTTGAGGGGTGAACTATCCCTTTCATAACTGCAAGCAAATCATCCGAGTCTATGAAAAGGGTCCATACTGAGAACACAGTACTTTACTGCTCAATGTGGCCGTTGTGAGTATTGCATCCAAAATAGTTTGAAGGACAAGGCAGCTTGTTCATTTCTGCACAGAGACAGCAGAGGGCATTAGACAGCACCATTTTGTTTCAGCGTCAATCCTCTTCCTTTAGAGCTAAAAGCAAACAATATGCACATATTCCGGTGAAAGAAAATAGCGAATCTTTTCTCAGACCTTTCATAGATTATTATATACTGTAGCAGCAGAGGCCTTGAAGGGATAGCTCACCCCCAAAAACTGAAAATGTGCTGTTATCTTACTAACAGGACATTCAAGGCGTAGCTGACTTTTTATCTTTAGCCGAATATTAAGGATTTTAATTGGTCACACTTTACAATCTTTTTAGTTCGTGTGTTTACTAACATAAACTAATTATGAACAATACTTGTACAGCATTTATTAGCCATAGTTCAACATTTACCAATGCATTATTAACATCTAAATTCATGCTTGATAACATTGGTTAATGCACCGTGAGGTAACATGAACTAACAATGATCGACTGTATTTCCAATAACTAAAATGAACAAATACTGCAATAAATGTATGGTTCATTCTTTGGTCATGTTAGTAAATGCATTAACTAATACAAACTTATTGTAAAGGGCTACAAATTTTTTTTTTTTGTCTGAAATTATCGCTCTCTGGGACTCATGAATGCCACAGACACTTTTAGAGTTACAAAATAACATTTAGGCAAAACTAAATTAATACTTGTGGCTCTTGACAATACACTGAGTTCTTATAAGGTTTTATTATTACTTAGTCAATTATTTAGGATTAAAGGTGCAGTAGGTGATCTGCCAAAATGCTAACCGGTTAGCATAATATCTTTGAAACTTATTCCTTCCTAATAGGCAAAATAA